GTAGTCTCTGGGACCATTGTTTGCTCATTTTCGGGCTCAATTCTTCGTCTTATCTCTCTTTTATTTCCTCTAGTATAGGACGTATGCTATACGGGTCTACAATTATATTTTCGTGAATTTATCAATTGTGTGTCTTGTCCTAGTCTGCATGGCGGTTTTACTTTTATTGCTTATCGTGGGAATTGACTGTTGTAGTGGCTTGTAGTCAGTGGCTGAGGTGCGGGCCGCGTCGGTTTGCACTCCTGGACTCTGATTGGCTCCTGCCTTCTATGACATAGGCTCTCTGCAGGTTCACGCGATCTGCAGAGCCATTACATTATTGGTATCTGGAATTGATTGCAGGCTGTGGAAGGGCCAGAAAAATTGTGAAAAATGCGGGAAATCCATAATATATTCAGAGCTCTATAGCAAATCAAGGAATATACAAGATGATCCTGAGAGGTCTAGTGAAATTCAAATAATACTTCAAGAAAGATAGGAATATTTGTGTCAGCTCTATGATATCTATAATACAAAAGGTGGTTGCCTTTCCCACGGGGGATAAACGCAAAATTGACTTTTATGGCAGTCAGGCTGTGGCTTAATGGATACATGCCCTGCTGCTCAGAGGAGACTGTAATCTGCAGGAAATCTTCTATGAGCTTGATATAATAGGTTTAGAAAGGATGTGCCATAAGTGCATGTAGTTTAAGTACACAATTGGTTACACAATAAACTGAACTACCATATATGACTGGAGTGAACAAGGGGGCCACATCACAGCCTTTTGGGCCACGATGTGGCCCCATTATATTGCTATATAGGTGTCCTAACTCGAGTCAGTTGTCACAAAAAGAGTGACCGTGCAGTATGCACGGGTAGCTGCTAGTACAGTGTAAAATAGGGAGTATCTTATGCCCAGCTCAGGACTCGTAACCAGCCATGCACAGCATTGGCCCACTCCCCCCAAGTCTAGATTGTTGTACCGTACCTTGCGAGCTCGAGGACCTTACAATGCCCCTGTAGATACACCCCCATCTTTGCACTCATTCATGAGATGTGCTAAGTGGGGTGAGTTTGTATTCGCGAACCCGTTCATTCATGGACTTACCATTACCTGTAGTTTACTTGTCTGTTCGTTCACAGGTAATGCAACATCTTTGCACTCATTCATTAGCCGTGCTAAGTGGGTTTACTTGTCTGTTTGTTCGCAGATGTGCACATGCTCAAGCTAGATAACGGAGACCTCAGTCACGCTGTATGCATAGCGACTATATTCGTACTGTACCTAGATAACCGAAACCTAGTCTACTTGTTAGCTATGTACAAGACTCGTAATATACTAAGCTTACCTCAGTCACGCTGTATGCATAGCGACTGAGGAAAGAGAGAGAAAACATCGTCCGAGACTACCCGAGTCCGCCGTCACGTGTGTGAAGAGTACCACGTCTACGTTGCACATTCTCAACACTCCTCCTTGACGTAGACGCCACCGTCACTAACATCCAGACTACTCCTCCTCGAATGGAACATTCGATGTAACTCCTCCTCTTGATTTTGAATCTCGTCAGCGTAGCGGTTGGTTCTCGTCCCGACATCGCCTTTGCCATCCAGTATCTCAGTCAATTCCTGGACTGTTATGGTACCGCGCACTGGGAAGCTGCTAAACGTGTCGTACGTTATCTCAAGGGGACTCGAGATCTAAAACTTCATCTTGGTGGCTCTAAGGCTGATGCGCTACTGGGCTATACCGACTCAGGCTTTGCTATGTGTCCGGATACTCGTCGTTCCGTTGGCGGATACTGCTTCTCGCTTGGCTCTGGCATTGTCACCTGGTGCTCGTGGAAACAAAAGACTGTTACTACGTCGTCTTGTGAAGCAGAATATATTGCAGCCTCTGAGTCTACGAAAGAGCTGGTTTGGCTTCGAGCACTACTGGAGGGTATAAATCATCGACAAGCCAATCCAATGCCCTTGCTATGCGACAATAACAGTGCAATTACCTTGTCAGGCGATCCATCTTTCCACAACCATACAAAACACATCGACATCAAATACCATTACATTCATGAATGTAACGAGAACGGGCTATTGATTGTTAACTACGTCAATACGAACGACAACCTCGCCGACATATTCACAAAACCTCTGACCACTGGACCCTTTTGCCATCTGCGCGACTTGCTCGGGCTAGATACATCAGCGATCCTATGAGGGAACGATAAGGTAGTGACACCGCAATGAGACACTCCTCCTCGGTCTGAGGCGAGTGTTCTTTGCGAGACAGCCGTTGATATGCACTGACACACAACAATCACCAAGGACCAAAAGGAATAAACCTAAACCCCGTGATATGGGTGAAGGCAGTCCGAGACAACTGAAGGGTATTTAATAGTTTGAGGGGGAAAGGAGGAGTAAGACGCCGTAGGGTAGTCCGCAGGAAGACCTAGAAAAATAAAACAAAACCTTGATGCCTGAAACAAACACTAATGGACGCTCTGGAGTATTTATCTCCGAAAAGTCGCAAACAAAGTCGCAAACCACGGAACCGAGTGTAGGTTCGGGCCCACGGGAGTAGAAAACGCTAAAGGGACTTGTTTAATTTTTATTTCGCTATGTGAGACGCACCGGAGCTAATTGAATCGATGGCGGAGCTAATTCACTCGACGAGTCAGGCCTATTGGCAAAGCTAAGATCGGTTATAATTCGCTAAGTTCGACGCTTTCGAACTTCTCGGGTCGCTGAGATCGTAACACTAATTCTCTGAGATGGTGAAGTCGAAACTTGTTTTTCTGTACGCTACTTTGTACAATTGATACTACAGGAATGGCTTTGCGACCGTCCGGAGATAAATAACAAATAACCGCTGCTACCCACAGGATTGCTCAGCACTTGCCGCCGCTATACCATGCACCACACGACTCCCTTGCACTCCTACTTGCTCGTCCCAACCCCTAGAGGTCGCCTTGATGCTCTGCCACCTGATCCAAGCGGTCCCATCACTCCGTGCAACGCGCCGGTCACGTGCTAATTACCTCCGGCCGCTTGCTGACTGATGCTGACCTCATGGTGACTCGTATACGTCCGCACCTTTGGTATCTTGACGGAAATGAGGGGGAGTGAGTGCTGGAGGGTGGGCATGAGGACGACGCCCCTCGATAGAAGTTCCCACGGGCCCCGGAGCTAATTCATCTAGATGTTGCATTGGTTAAGTCGCTCCGGAGCTCCTGTTCGCGGAGATAAATCGTGGAATGGGTTCGTGTACGCCTCAAGGATGTTAGGAAGTCCGGAGCTAAAACAGAGCAAGTCTTTAGAGCCCATAGAAGCCTAAAGGCGTGTGAGCGCTGTGTCGAATAAGCTCCGGAGGGCTTGTACGATGCACTGAGTCCGCGTTTTCGGGGGTCAGACGATCCCGAGGCTTATCACCGTAGACCAGATTCCATAGGCGTCGCGACAGGAAACGCGTCGGTCAGGTTGAATTGAATAAGGATGCGGTCGATGAGGGCGATTTGCGAGATAGCAACGGTACATGATCCGCGATCCCTCTCCACGGCAATGCCAAGACAGAATCATACCTCCCCTTGATCGGATATTTGCCATTTTTCGTGCAATTGATCCTTGAATCGAGCATTGGCAGCAGCTTGGCTTGCGATCGATAGGAAGTCATCCACATGGACTCCCGCAATAACAACGCCATGTTCATCCTCACAATAATAAATGCAATGCTCACATGAGAGGCGAGTGAACCCCAGTTCCACCATCCTAGCATGCATAGTACGGTTCCAGATCCATCCAGCTTGTTTCATTCCATAGAGGCCCTTCTGCAGCTCCCATACCCACTCTTCTTTGCCCGACTCTTCGAAACCTTCCGGTTGTTCCATATAACACGTCTCATCAGCAGGTAACAGCCCGTACAAGAAAGCAGTTTTGATGTCGATCTGCTGAGCGTCCCAGTCGAGAGCAGTGGCAAGGTGTAGAAGTACTTGGAACGATTCCATACGCATAGTTGGGGATGTAGTTTTGTCGTAGTCGAGTCCAAAGATCGCTTCGTATCCTTTGCAGACATAGCGAGCTTTGTACCGAGCAGGCGCGCTGTGTTCGTTGCG